TCCCCGAATCCTCTAATCATTCGCTTTACCTCATAAAACTATCGTAAATAAGTTGCTGCTATCCTGAGGGAAATTTCGGAGGGAACCAGCTACTAGATGGTTCGATTAGTCTTTCGCCCCTATACCCAAGTTTGACGATCGATTTGCACGTCAGAATCGCTACGAGCTTCCACCAGAGTTTGGTCGTCAAACAAAATTTGCAGAAACGTGGATGTTTTACAGAACTCAAATTCGACCTAATCACATCAATAATTGAATTTTATAACGCCATATTCCCCCATACAGATTTTGATTTCACAAGGAATTTTGAGACAGCTCGCTTTTCACTCCATAAACAATGCCGTGTTGCACCCGGGGAAGCTCTGGATTTTTGAATAAAACATCCTACTTTACCGGTCCGCTAAAGAATGACCGTTCATTTAACTTGCGATAACTTTAAGTCTGCCTAATAAATGTAGACAGAGCGAGTTTTATGGTAGAGCTCTTTATTCGCACTACCCTCCATTTGTTTTTGGCAAGGCGAGTTTCCGCCAAAAGCGTCAATACTGTAGTGTAGCCCGGGGATTTTAAAGCAAAACAGGAAACACACGACGATGCGGGGGCCAACCCGCACGGAAGTAGCAGCCAAATGTATTGATGTACTCTGTGTCGTGCAAATTACAAAGTGAACGAGATCATGAGTCAGGTGCTGACCAGCTCGCTCTCGTCAATGTGCTGCTAGCCACTCATCTTGAGCGACTAGGCAGCAAGGGAAGTGGACATGAATGCCTTTCATCACAGCAAAGAAACATGCAGTTGGCAGTACTAACTCCTAATGCAGTTCACAAGGACACTGGCAGTCCAAGTGAAATTGAAGTCCTCAGCTGACCACAACAAAAGACATTCCGTACTCCACCCGTTGACTGCAATGGCATCCACATCCCGGTGAAGTTGCTCCAGCCCGAGTCCAGCTGCAGGTGAAACCAAGGTGAAACCCCAGCACACACTACGCAGCCCCCGAAGCTTGATTCTACCTGTTCACATCGCACCAGTCTCCGCCGCAACCACTACTCACCGAGCCGTCAGTTACCCTGGCCTCCGTCCTTACCGCGACTCTGCGAACGGCGTGGCTGCACGCGTGAAGGCGTCCCATCCCGCACTACAGCTCTTGGTCGGCGACCTCGGGGAAGTGGAGGACCATCCTCGGCACCCATGTGCTGCTCATTGTCCCCGTCTGCAGTCTGCTCCCCGCGCGTCGTGCTTGTCGGTACTCCCGTCGGACATCACTGTCCGCAAAGGTAGAGGGGAGGTCGCTGTCAAGTTGGCCGATGGGAAATCACGCCGCGTAGCGCGGCGCGAGATTACCCTTCCGTACACGTTCGACGGTTTCCGAAGCAACGACGACTTCCTCGTCATTGAGACGAATTACGCGTTTGACTGCATCCTGGGTATGCCGTGGCTGACGCGCTATCAACCAGAGATTGACTGGTTGGCCCGGTCGGTCAAGCGCCGCAGTGATTATGATGTGAGCGAGGTGTTCACGCACCTCCTGGTCGCCCAGAAGGATTGGCCCTCACGTCACCGTCGTGCACCGGTCATCCACGACGCACGTTGTGCACAGAGTGAGCGATGGCCCTCTCTGCACGGCTTGCGCAGTGCTGTTAACTGACGAGTCCCCGCGGCGACGCGGGGATGAAGACCATTGGTGGTCGAGCAGGGGCTCCCGCAGACGAACGAGATGGCGGTCGAGCAGGGGCTCCCGCAGACGAACGAGATGGCGGTCGAGCAGGGGCTCCCGCAGACGAACGAAATGGCGGTCGAGCAGGGGCTCCCCTCAATTGAGCCGGTGGTCGAGCACTTGGCGCTCCCGCTGAACTCTACCGCGGTCGAGCAGGGGCTCCCGCTAGAGGGGGGTGACATCTCGTCCAGCGAGAGCGACTCATCATCCTCGAGCTCGCACTTGAGGCGGCGAAAGAGGAAGTCGAAGCAGCGTCGGCTGAAACCTCGCCGAGCGCCCGTACCAAGTGACAGCTCACCGACGGAGTCGGTCTGCGTGCTTGAGTATGTGGAAGGTACCTCCGGCCGCCGACGAACACTCGAGCTTGCAAACCCGCCTGGCGAGGCAGGGTCGATCACTCGATTTCCAGATCTCTCCTGGAAGAACTTTCTTTGCGGCCTCAAGGTCGATGAAATCGAACAGGTTTGCCTGATCACCGACGCCGATTCGGCGTCGCTCGAAGTGAATGCAGTCAATGACGGCGACGCTCCCTCGCGTCCAAAGAGCGCTGAACCGAAGTCGGCCCGCGAGGAGCGCTTTGCAGCGCAGTCTTGGGAAGCGCTACTCGAATCCGGCAATCCAGTCTACGAGTCCGCCCGCGAATATGAAGATGTCTTTCCGGATAAGATCCCAGCTGAGCTACCAGCTGACCGAGGAATTCGCCACGAGATCGATCTCGTGCCCGGCTCGAAGTATTGTGTTGTGATGTAGCGGGATCAGCAAAATCTGCGAGATTGCTGGATCCAACTTACCAACTGCGCCCAGACACCAACTAACGGAGGGGGTCCCCCGATTATTCGTGTTCTGCTGAACTTTCCTCACCTTGTGTACGTTGATTGAATCGTTCCACAATGTCGTCAATGTACCGAGTTTGCTTGATCATCAACGTTCCACATTCTCTATCGTGGTCAATCTCCATTCCCAAAATGAATTTGGCCTCGCCAAGCTCCTTCATCTTGAATG